CGCAGTTTTTTTTTTGTTTCACAACTGAACTAGAATGGTAGAAGCTTGGCTTGCACAAAAGATTGCAAAATCAGTGAAAAAGAGAATGATGAATTTCATTCTAGTAAGCAATTCAATGAAAAAGAATCTTGACTGCTTCAGAAATATGAATTAACTAATATAGATAAGAAAAAACAAATTGAGAGAGAAGGAACTTCTTAGCCACCCATTTTTTCTTCCCCTCTAGCACCTCCTTATACAGTTTTGCTGTTTAAAATTGTAGTTCGGAACATAGGAAGACAAAGTAGGGCAAAGGCTGTCTTCTATCGTTTGACCACTGCAGCCAAAAGCTTCAGTTTAGTGATGTTGTTGGCCACTGAAATAATAACCAAACAATTCTTTGACCACACAAAGTATAAAAAATCAAAATCAAAATAAATAAATAAACTATAAGGAGCCTTCAAAAAACTATGCTTCATAAAATCCTAAACTGATAGAAACCTGCTACTTGGTGGATCTCTTAAGCGATTATGGCCACAAACCATAATCTCTGACACGATTAAGATCACCACAACCATGCATTAATAGAATGGCAACGTACTGTCAAAAAGAACATCGTACACTTTTATACTTGCAAAATATATGACATGTATATACAGCATGAGTCTTTTAGCAGTATATGATGACACACATGTACTCAAGTTTCACCTTCCTGTTATTATTTGCACAGCACCAAACAGCTTTATTATGTACACAACACATCATATTGGATAATAAATTTGTAAGCACGAAATGAACTATTACATGTTAAACAAACATTTTTAAAATCTGAAAAGAACTCTACCAGCACAAAAGGCCTAACCTTAAATTCCCAAATACAGGGGACCAAACATTCAAAACCAAATATAAAATATATTAATGAGATAATTCCCAAAAGAAAATATTTCATGTACCATGTGGTAGCATGATGCATCCCAGGAACACTGATGTGACGTCTCTTCTCAGCTTTAACCATATGACTGTTTTCTTGGAGACTTTCTGCGGGTAAAGTGAATGTTAAAATCAATTCAATAAATAAAAAGAAGAGCTTTTGTGAAATGAATAGCTTATGCCTAAAGCACTAAAAAGTAAATCAAAAGCTTGTAATCTGTATCACCTTGCCAAGCCTGGAAAGACTCTTCATTGACAGATGAACCGGCAACTTTCTTTACCACTTCATCTAGTACATTATGTGGTGCAATCTTGAGTTCTTGGATTACACTATATATTGGCTTCCCATTCTCCAAGTATATGTGGTTATTCAAGTGTCTAGTTTTGCCACCAGCATGCAACTCAAACTCATAGGCACTGAATATCTGCTTATACCATTCAATTGTATGGCAAACAAAATTAAATGCAAAAAAAAGCCAAATGATCCCCTCTCCTCCCAAAAAAAAAAATTTGAGATAAAACAACTTACTTTGGAGAAATTGGATAATGAGCAGCCACACAAATATCCACTGCCTTTCATGATTCCAGGAAGCTCTCTCTACAATCATTGAAACAGAATAAGAGTTCCACATATTTTAAAGATTGAGTGGAATTTTACCAAAATAAAAATGGAACTACAACATACCTCCTGTGAAGTGGTAGCGTACTTCACCCGAGCTCTTTCTAAAATCCAAGTAGATAAAAGCTTTTTAACAGTTGTGGGATAACTGTCTGGCAGAACCTTCTTAGACATTTTCAGTTCCATAGTAGGCTGACATAAAAAAGCTTTTCTGCTCTCGTCAACAACCTTCCCATATGAACTTATTTCTGTATTCATATCATCTGATGCTGAATGATGCCACTGGAAAATTCCATCAGACCCAGATCCCACTGCTGTTGAATTACATACTTCTGTATTTATAGCTGTTGAATTACAACTATTTCAGAGATCGAATAGAGGATTTGTTCTTTTGCAATAGAGAACATCTACAGAGGATTGTACACATTTATTATAATTAAACAAATTAATTATTTATGCATTTATTTTGTGTCTTAATTGCAGGATACAAATTTGTGTTTATAACAACTCTACACTCAAATCCTTACTATAAAATTAAACCAAATGGAGCCAAATATCTTATTAAGACTATTTAATTTCTCACAGGAAAAAAATGATGAGATTTAATGATAAACAAGTTGATTGATTGTAAAATATTTGTAGGGTAAATTACACTTACACCCCCCTGAGGTTTGAGTTTATACACATCACCCCCCTAACGTTTAGGAAATTACACTAACTCCTCTGTTATTGTAATTATTTAGATGGAATGAAAATATTGAACTTATGCACTCTCTCTTTTTTTACTTTGCTTTACTTTTTTTTTTTCCCTTTTCTTTACGTTTTTTTTTAAAGGTAATTTCCTTTGTTTTTTTATTAGGAGTTGTTACATTTTATATAAGTAGGGGAGTTTGTAAAATGAGACTATTAACCACATGGGTGAGAATGTAATTTCCAAAATGTCAAGGGGTGGGTAGTAACTAGACCAAACCTTAAGAGGTGTCAATGTAATTTACCCATATTTATAATACCAAAACTATTTCTAAAATACAATAACAATAAAAATCTCACTTATATATCTTTCTTTTACATAATTATTTTTTTTTACTCCTCCAAACATCATAATAAAAAATACAATCAGGGTGTTTGGTTTCACTTTTTTGGATTTAGTTATTTGAAAATTGAATTTTTTATTTTTCGTATTTTTTTGCTTTTAGTCAATATTTTTAAATTTTTAAACAATTTTTTTATGAAAAAATACCTTACTTTTTTACTTTTTTAGATATACCTTACTTAGATGTATCTAAATAGTAAATTATTTGTGAAAAAATATTTTTAAAAATTAATAAATACACAAAAATATAAAAAATGTACTGAATTTTTTTTATTTTGTATTTTTTGTATTTAGTGAATTTTTAAAGATTTTTTTCGCAAATATTATATTTTCTAAGTTATTTATGTGAGGTGTTTTTAAAAATTTTAAAAATTACTTTAAATATTAAAAAAATTCAATGAAAACAACAAAAATACGGGAAACGAAAAAGTATAATTTTATGAAAAGTGAATTCTGAAAATTGAAAACAAATAGAGTCAATAATTTCATTTATTTTCTAATTTATTTTATTTTCTCCAAACCTATGTTTGGGGTGTTGGTTTTAGGATATTTTAGTTCAAAAAAAATAAAATTAAAAACTCAATAAGATAAATTGTTTTATCTAAATCATAATCATTTCATATTTTCTTTGAAAAACCCATCATAAATAAGACTTTTAACCCCAAACTAAGGCCTCATTTGACAACATCAATTTTTAATTTAAAAGCTAAAAAATCACTAAAAAAAAAAAGCCAACAACATATATCAAAAAGTCAAAGATTTCATTTTTCTCTCTATTTTTTGCACATTTTTTCATAAAAAAAAATCAAAAATTCATTCAAAACATACTAGGCTCCGTTTGGTAAGACTTATTAACTATGATTTGAGAATATGAGTTGTATTTTGAGTTTGTGTGTTTTGAAATTATGATTTGAGTGTAGAAAATTTGTTTGGTTATCATTTTTGAATAGAGTGTTGAATTAAGTTCTGAATTGAGTGTGTAATTGAGTTTTGATAGTTTGATTGACATGTGAAGTAAGAAAATTTGTTTAGTTATTTTGTTTAGTTATGAGTTTTGGAAAGAGTTTTCAAAACTTAATTCAAATTGTTATAACTCATAACCTAAAACACTACTTTCACACTATTGAAAATTCTAATCAACACTCATAACCAAACTCTTTTTAAAATTCAATTAAAACAATTTATTGTTAACAGAAAATAACATTAATCAATTTTTTAATTGAAAATACTACAAAGGAAATAATTTTTTTTTTCAAAACAAATATTCAAAAAATTTAAATAATAAATATTTAAATAATTTAAATAATCTAAAATTTTAATATGTAAAAAGTTAAAATAAATATTCAAAAAATTAAAATCATAAAAATTTAAATAATTTAAAATTTTAATATTTTAAATTTAAAAACAACTCTATACTCAAATCGTAACCAAACACATAAAACAAAACTCAATTAAGAATTATTTTTAAAACTCATAACCAAACGCATAACTCGAAACTCCATACTACTTTCACAACTCAACACTCAAATCATAACCAAATACATAACCAAAAAATTAAAATATTTAAAAATATTTTTATAAAATAGAGTTTGAATTTATTCTTATAAAATATTTTAAAATTTAAAAAAATTAAAATCATAATATTTAAAAATATTCAAAAAATTAAAAAAATCGTAACATATTTAAATATTAAAATATTTAAAATCTTAACAAAATTAAAATATTTTTAAAATATTTAAATATTTAAAATATTTAAAAAATTAAAATATTGATTTGAATGGAGTTTTGAAAAAAGTTTTGTGAGTTTTGAAAAGTAATGATTATGTTTTGAATTGAGTTTTGAGAAGGAGAAAAGTTAGAGATCAAGAAATTTTTTTTCATGAAAATGATCATGAAAAATTTATGATCCTTGGATTATCTTGATTAGTGTGTGGTGCTTTATTCTAGTGTAATCTAAGGGTCACAAAACTTTCATGATTATTTTCATGAAAGGTTTTTCATGATACCTAGCATTGTTGTTTGAGAAGTGGGTGTAGAATTATGAGTTGAAAGCTCAAAGGAAACACTACACTCAAAGCAATGAGTGAAACTATAATTTGAGAGATTTACCAAATGAAACTCTAATTTTTTCACATCATAGTTTAATCCAAAGTTAAAGAATTACTTTTAAAAAAAAAGTTGGTTCCAAATAAGGCCTAAACAATAATAATAATAATAATAATAATAATAATAATAATAATAATAATAATAAAAAGAAAAAAAAAACCGCATCCAGACGAATGCTGTATTTCAGAGAAGTGGCCAGTCAGCACCCGAAGAGGGGTCAAAACAAGGACACTCCCGTCAACATTTTCATTTTTCCCATTACTTTCTCACGAACCAAACAAGATTAAAGGAATGCACCTCCGGTCCCTCTTCCTCCTTCTCTCTCTACCCCGTCTACGTCTCATATTCAAAATCTTCGATTTGCTCTATAAAATAATCACACTCTCTCAGATCAGATATCTTGTGATTCAATCCACTCGTCAGCACTCTCTCTCATGCACTCCACCAACCATTTCTAGGTTTTCAATCGATCTTCTCATAGAAAATTCAATTGATTGGAGTGTTTCTCAGAAGCTATGGAAGAAGAAGAAGCACCACTCGTTGCTGAGAACTCGGAAACTCAAACCCTAACGAAGAAGAACCATACCAGAGATGTGCATATTCTGAGCTCGGCTTTCTTGTTGATGTTCTTGGCTTATGGTGCTGTTCAGAATCTGGAGAGTACAATCAATACTGTTAGTTCTAAATTTGATTGATGAGACATAAATTGAACAATTGCGTGTTTTTTTTTTATGGGTTAGACTTTGAATTTGGGTTTCAGGAGGAAGATATAGGGACAATTTCGCTCGGGATATTGTATTTGTCTTTTATGGTTTTTTCTTTCTTTGCTTCATTGGTGGTTCGGTTCCTGGGTACAAAAAATGCTCTTGTTCTTGAGACTGCTGGGTATTGGTTGTTCATAGCAGTGAATTTGAAGCCCACATGGTAACAATTTTTTTCACCATTGATGCATTGTCTTAATTTAGTTGAGGACAAACGTGCTTTTTAAGTTTTATGTGACTGTGTCTTTGCACTGATAGGTGATGAAATAGCCAAAATTGTTGGGGAGTAGGCTCCCCTCAAGACTACATCTTCTCCCTACTCCCTTAAGACTCTATTTTGTGGGCTCCATAGTTTTGTGATACAAACCGTTCATCTCATAGGTCGAAGAGAAGAATATATTTATTAAAATTTAGCTTGATTGGACATCAATCGATACACTAACTAATCGTGTTTTATGCTAATAAAAAAAAAAACTGACCGTGTTTCATTTTATGAAATGGATGGTACATATAAATCTAAATAAAAACCATTGATTTTATAAGATAAAATATGATAAGTTAATATGCTCATCGATATTCAATAAAGTTAATTTTTTTCATATATGTTCTATTCTATTGGGCAAACAAGATGAGCGGTTTGGATCACCTTCGTTGGCTACATGGAGCCCACAAAATGAAGTCTTGAGAAATATTGAGAGGATGAAGTCTTGAGGGGAGTTGCTCCCAAAATGTTTGAGTGAATTTCATGAGACTAAAAGTCCATGTGGTTTGGGACTTGGGCGGGTAAGATTGGGTGTAGACCTTGTCTTTCCACTATTTGCGGTCTTGAGGGGAGTTGCTCCCAAAATGTTTGAGTGAATTTCATGAGACTAAAAGTCCATGTGGTTTGGGACTTGGGCGGGTAAGATTGGGCGTAGACCTTGTCTTTCCACTATTTACGGAAAGTGGTTGCTCTTTGACTCGAGACAACATTCTTATGCTTGTCAGTATTGTACTAAATAATGATGTGGGCACATATTTGATAGAGCCCTATCATGTTCATCAAATTGATGAAGTTTTATATACTTAAAAATGAATATTCTTGTGATAGGTACATGACGGTTTCAGCTTCATTGTACCTAGGATTTTCTGCTTCAATAATATGGGTTGCAGAGGTACAAGTCCATCTTTTAGATTTGGTTCATCACTTTCTTGTGTTTGATGATGTAATAAGTACATTACTTTTTCCCTAATGATATTATAGTCCATCAAGATACATATCTTACTTCTACAACACGCAGTCATGCACATGATTGGTAACTTCAATGGAGAATTTTGGGGAATGTTTACAGGTCACAAGGTGCTGCATTTTGGTGTTTGATGACAATTTTAATGATCTTTGGTTCTAATAAGAATATATTCAATTTGTTTTGTATGGATGTTGTGCATCTGGAATAATCTTCATTTTTTATTGAATTTTGCAGTTCGTTGGAAACCTTGTCTCTTGTTCTATTGAAAGATGGAACGATATGTGCATGCTTGTGATTCCAAGCTGATTTCCATGTCCTATATTTTTCTATGTTGTTTGTTGTATTACTAGTACCAATTCATTATCATAGATTTAGTTATTAACACTTGCATTACACTCGATAAACTCTGACCTTGATTGTACCAAAAAATTATTTAATGTTAAATTTATCTTTTGCATCTCTAATGCAATTTTAGCTATAAGTTAGCACTGAAAAATAAAGATGGCAGAAAGATGAGGAGAGTCTGATTTATTATGAAGTGAATGATGTTTATTTCCTTTTTTTCCCCCTCTTTGGCTAAGGGATTTCCCTTTTCCTTTTGTTTCTTTAATAATTTCTTTGGTGGACGTTTTAATGATGGTTTTTTTTTTCTTTTTTTTTTAATGAAAAAAAGGGATAAAATCAAGGGTCCCAAACCTTATTCAATAGTCTCAAAATCAATCAATGAAGAGAGTTTCAAAAGAAATGACTTCAGGGATAAAATCAAGGGTCCCAAACCTTTTTCGATAGTCTCGAAATCAATCAATGAAGAGAGTTTCAAGAGGAATGACTTCCCTTAGTTGGTTTGAGTGGCATAGCCCATTGGAGTAGTTGTCTAACCGTGGGAAACAATTGTATAGCCATGTTGACAAGTAGAGCTATAGAGTTTTCGACATGGTTGGCTCCCATTTTTGGCATTCCTTTTGTTAGAAAATTGTCAAGTTGACAAATTTGACCGTTCCATTCTGCGAATCCTTCACACCTCTACCCAAGTATCTGAAGGGTATCAAGGTCTAAAAAAAAAAAGTTGATACAGTATCCAACACGTCAAAAAGTGTCCAATGAGTGCTAGTGCCAGACATGCATCGAACACGGATACGCACCTTCTTAGTTGTGTCAAGAAGTGTGTGTGTTTCTTGGGTTGTTCAATATATATATTTTTAAGATAGCAAATAAAATATTAAAATATACATAAATTACTTGTATTTAATAAAAAATAATAAGGATATTCAATGGCACAACTTTAATCCTATGTAGTGCCGTCCTTGACAACAATATACCACTAGCTTTCATTTGGTTGTGGAAAATTTGAAGTATTGTAGATTCTACCTCAGTGTCAAAATCTATGATTTTTTAGTTCTTTTAAAACACTCACATCTTTAATTTGTTATTATTTCTTTCACATCACTGCAGGGGGGAACTACCAGTGGCACAACTTTAACTTTACTATATATTGTGTTTTTTAGTTTGATTTATACTCTTTTTCACATAAGTGTTGACACGAGAAGTGCATGCCTTGAGTTGAGTGTATGAATAAGTGATGGACGTGTGTCCAAAGCGTGTCTAGATCTAAAAAATATAAAAAAAAATATTTAAATTAATGAAACATTTGGACGTGTATTCGATACGTTACCTTCTTAGAGGTGTTTGTGCGTGGGGGATCTAATTGAGAGGAAGGTGGGATGAAACTATGTATTGATTTATTTATAAAAAATAAATAAATTAGTGGATGTAATTGTGAAAACGTATGTTTTATGGTTGAAGATAAGGTATATTGAGATTCTCGAGACGTAAATTCCATATATTGAAGGAAATTCGGAAAACTTATTCCTTTAGGAAAGTTAAAGATATGGGTTCCACAAGTGTTCTCCTAATTGAACAATTAAACAAATAGGAGAAAATTGACTTTTGTGTGTTGTACTCTCCTTTAAAATGTTAGTTATCTTAATTATTTTCACACTTATGTCTAATCTATTTCTCATTCATGTATATTAAAGATATTTAGCCCTCAACTTTTTCTTGGTCGTTTCTTTGTGCAAATGCACTTGCATTTAATTCTCAAATGTTACTTTTGGGGTGTACAGGAAGGAGCATTTGCACAGCTCAAGGTTTGGCAGTGTGCTTCGATTGCAGTTGTGTTTTTTGTGAGCCCTCACGTTTCTTTGCATGTTGTGTTAGTGGTTATGCTTGTTGTAGTCTGCATCTCTGTTGTCGGGTTTCTATTCCTCACTCTTATGGTCGAGAAAGCATTCTCTTGTGCTGATTGTTTTTTTGCAACCGGACACTTAATCAATATTTGTTGCCAAAGCATGTATTATTCACGTCTTGCATATTGATTGCCGCAGAACGGTGTATCTGCCTGTGAAATCTATTCAATAAGAAAATATGTTCACCTGTTAATATTTCTTCAAAAGAAAAGTATTTAGAGGCTAATTTGAATGTAAATATCATATTATTGTTCTTTTTTATTGAGAATAGAGTCTTTGTGAAAGTTGGCAATTAGTGCAAGTAATATTTGTGGAATATGGACATCTTTATATGCCCTGCCTAAATTGGAACCCGGATTACCTCTTTTAGATTTTATTGATTTATGAAAGAGATTGTTTTTGCTTACATGAACAACTGCATAAATTAAACAAGAAAGCAATGAGAGAGGTAATTGATCTTGGTTTCACAAAGTGTTGGACTAGTTCCATAAAAAAACCCACTTCTAAACTCAAAACTTCTTTCTTCTGTGTCTACTATGTTAGTGCATCATTCACTTTGTTTGATGTTATGCAATTGAGTATTTTTATAGATATTAAAATTTTTACTAAAATTACTAGAGGCAAAATATAATTGATAGTAAAAAAAGAAAAAAAAAAGAAAAACAGTAATACTTGGACATGCAGAATGTTCCTTTGTCCCCACATCATACTATGATCACTTGGCACGGAGGATTTATTTATTTTTTTCAATTGTCTTGAGTTATAGTTCTAGAATATCGTGTGGTGTTGCGTACATAGTCAAGAATTACAAAACATGTTAGCCTCTGGTCTCAAGTCAACCACTCTAATAGTTTGTGCCGGAGCTTTCATTCAGTTATGGTACTGCTTTGGCTTCTACTGAAGTGCGGGTTAGGTTTCTCGTTGATTCCAACTAAAGTTATTTGGAATCTAAAGTTTTTAATTATATTTATCTGATTTGAAGTTGCTATGACTTTATTAGTTCTTGTTAACTGTGCCATTGTGCAGCGTAACTAGTGGAGTACTCGGCATTTTATACCCCCTTCTCATTGTAGCTGCATTGGGAATTGGGGATGGAATATTCAACACATAGCTTAATGCTTTGCTTGGGAAGCTCTTTAAGCATGATATAGTAGTGATTTATTTTGTTTGTTTTACTAAGCCTTTTTAGTTTGATTTATACTCTTTTTCACATAAGTGTTGACACGAGAAGTGCATGCCTTGAGTTGTGTGTATGAATAAGTGATGGACGTGTGTCCAAAGCGTGTCTAGATCTAAAAAATATAAACAAATAATTAAATTAATGAAACATTTGGATGTGTATTCGACACATTACCTTCTTAGAGGTGTTCGTGCGTGGGGGATCTAATTGAGAGGAAGGTGGGATGAAACTATGTATTGATTTATTTATAAAAAATAAATAAATTAGTGGATGTAATTGTGAAAACATATGTTTTATGGTTGAAGATAAGGTATATTGAGATTCTCGAGACGTAAATTCCATATATTGAAGGAAATTCGGAAAACTTATTCCTTTAGGAAAGTTAAAGATATGGGTTCCTCAAGTGTTCTCCTAATTGAACAATTAAACAAATAGGAGAAAATTGACTTTTGTGTGTTGTACTCTCCTTTAAAATGTTAGTTATCTTAATTATTTTCACACTTATGTCTAATCTATTTCTCATTCATGTATATTAAAGATATTTGGCCCTCAACTTTTTCTTGGTCGTTTCTTTGTGCAAATGCACTTGCATTTAATTCTCAAATGTTACTTTTGGGGTGTACAGGAAGGAGCATTTGCACAGCTCAAGGTTTGGCAGTGTGTTTCGATTGCAGTTGTGTTTTTTGTGAGCCCTCACGTTTCTTTGCATGTTGTGTTAGTGGTTATGCTTGTTGCAGTCTACATCTCTGTTGTCGGGTTTCTATTCCTCACTCTTATGGTCGAGAAAGCATTCTCTTGTGCTGATTGATTTTTTGCAACCGGACACGTAATCAATATTTGTTGCCAAAGCATGTATTATTCACGTCTTGCATATTGATTGCCGCAGAACGTTGTATCTGCCTGTGAAATCTATTCAATAAGAAAATATGTTCACCTGTTAATATTTCTTCAAAAGAAAAGTATTTAGAGGCTAATTTGAATGTAAATATCATATTATTGTTCTTTTCTATTGAGAATAGAGTCTATGTGAAAGTTGGCAATTAGTGCAGGTAATATTTGTGGAATATGGACATCTTTATGTGCCCTGCCTAAATTGGAACCCGGATTACCTCTTTTAGATTTTATTGATTTATGAAAGAGATTGTTTTTGCTTACATGAACAATGCATAAATTAAACAAGAAAGCAATGAGAGAGGTAATTGATCTTGGTTTCACAAAGTGTTGGACTGGTTCCCATAAAAAAAACCCACTTCTAAACTCAAAACTTCTTTCTTCTGTGTCTACTATGTTAGTGCATCATTCACTTTGTTTGATGTTATGCAATTGAGTATTTTTACAGATATTAAAATTTTTACTAAAATTACTAGAGGCAAAATATAATTGATAGTAAAAAAAGAAAAAAAAAAAAACAGTAATACTTGGACATGCAGAATGTTCCTTTGTCCCCACATCATACTATGATCACTTGGCATGGAGGATTTATTTATTTTTTTCAATTGTTTTGAGTTGTAGTTCTAGAATATCGTGTGGTGTTGCGTACATAGTCAAGAATTACAAAACATGTTAGGTTGGTTCATATCTTGTCTCTAAGACAATCTTCAATGGTTCTCCAAATAGTTCATTAAATTTGAATTTGATGAAAAAAATTTACTTTTTGTTGTTCCAACTGAGCAACCAATCTGTGATACCCTTGTTCCGTAATATGTTAATTAGTCCTTAATATGGGTATGATTATGTGTCTAATATGATTTTTGTGGGCTATTATGTGAAAATATGTGGTTTTGAATTTCTATCTGTTCACCGTAGAATATCTGTTTGATTATATGCTTTGGAAATTAAATCGAAGGCCTTATCGGCCACAGAAACCAAAATTGGTCACGCCATTGTGATGGGCATAATTTTTAGAGCCTACGGTGAAATTTAATTGAAAAATTGAT